CAACTTGCTTTGTAATCATTCATTCAACTGAAGATGACAGAAGCTCTGTCGAAACATGTCTTGCAAACTTAAAAAATTGGTCGTTTTCCTTAAAATATCTCTAAATTTGTCAAGAAAAAAAAAGACATCCATGAGTTGAATCAAAATTATTTATCTATTCTCTGGGATTCTCTGGGATGTCACAGTTCTTTTTGTAACTTTCCATAGTGAACCTGTTGCTAAAACTGGTAACCTGTGCTTAAACTACATTTAGTAAGCTCAGTGAACCTGTGGTAATAATGATGACTGGGGCTGTTTCTTAACCTGGTGAACCTGTGGTCAACTTGGGTTAATCTGTGGTTAAATGGGGTAAACCTGTGGCCAAGATAGGTGAACCCATTCTTACATTTTAAGCTTGTTAGTCAACTTTCAACTTTATTTTCTTGTATTATTTGCACATTTTCCTGCCTTTAGGTAACAAATTAGCACTTGAGAACTCCAGGAAATCAAGTGAAGTAAACCCCATAAATGATTGCACCTTTAAACTACATGTACAATTGTACTGTACACCACTCACCCAACAACTTTTTCATAGCTGGAGTCGCTCTTGAAGGATGAACGAGAAAGAAGTGCTATCCTTAGTGACAAGTTAGAGACTGCCGAAGTTGAATTATCTGAGAGATTGGAGACTATTGAAGCACTTAAAACTGAAATGGCTAAACATAAGGATGTGGCTGAAAAAAGTAAGTGCGTGGATTTATGTGTGAGCTAATGAAGTTGGTCCCAAAACCCAACAAACAAATGACGTTTCTTAGGAAAATTTTTGAGGAAATTCAAATTTCAGAAGCACTTGTATCTTAAGATGAAATTTTGGGGGCTAGTGGATTGAGTTTCAGACTGCAGCATCATAGCTAGAGCTTGCTTAAAGGGCAAACCTGGAAACTGATCTTCTTTGCACACTGCCAGGTTGTCCCAACAATTTTCAGATACAGCTGCAATTGCAATCCCATTTCCCACTCAGATAATTAACTGCAAAACAAATTACATTTCATTTGTCCTAAAACAGCATTGGTGAGGGTGTCCCTTTGATCAAACAAAGCTTCCGGTAAACTGTAACTGCACTCACAAACGTATGGCAGCCAAGACCTTCAACGTAACTTAACTAAAAATTAGATCAACTAATATACATGACACCCTTATCAATTTAACAAGAAATGAATTTCTTGTACTCGTCCAGAAAATCAGATACATACTCCATTTTATTTTGAAGTCAAAAAGAACAAAATATCCCTTTCTTTAGCTTTAGATAAAGTCTTGCAAGCAGAGCAAGCAAGATACACTGAAGAATTTGCAAAACTTGAGAGGCAATTTAACGACATTCGCCGTGAACACACCAAAGCAGTTGTGGCCCTCAGACAAGCAGAAAGACAAGTTGAGCGGGAAAAGGAGAAATCAGCAGAGCAACTGTCTCTTCAACAGAAAGAGTACGAAATAAAATTAGGGAAAAGTCAGTCACAACTGCAACACTTGGAGAAGGAAAGGAACACGCTTATGGCTACAGTTCGGCAAGAGGGTTTCAAAGTTCCAAGACTAAGGCCAAAGGAACTTTCAGGTAAGTTAGCCAGGATATATACTTCTAGTCTTACTTTTAGCCATTTTTTGGGGCATGTGCTTGCTATGTTTTTGAACCAACAATTTCAAAAGTGAATAAATCTTATTAGTTTAGAGCAGAGCTCCAGCAGCCCATAGTCATAGTCATCATGGCAAGCAGTATTGCTCATGGGCACATTCAGATGACAGCGACGATGACGGAGTTGTGCAACGTGGCAGCCATACTCCAGCTAATAGATTGACAGAGACATGCTGCCTTGGTTTATAGCATCCTTTGACACTGGACATCCATGTTATGGTTAATTGGTACCTGTCAAAACAAGGTATCCTCTGACCAGTATCACGTGACCAATATCACATGACCATATAACAGGCTCAAGTTTAGAGCTCATCAAGGTCACGTTTGTTTTTTGAAGTTGACTGCTGACCAAGTGCTGGTTTTCAATTGGATTGCAGACTGTCAGGTTAACTTGTTGTAATCAGGGCCAGGTTGTTCAGAGGCCAGTTAAAGCAAACACAGGAATAAAAGTTACCATATTTATTCCCCTATAAGCCGAGACCCTAAACTTTTGGCTATCAGAACCTGTCAGAAAATTATGAAAAAGAAACCAAAAACATCTAGCTATAAGCCAAGATTGAATATTTGTTTTCTACACAGACTGTTAAGTGAATAAACATACCGGCAAACTGTGAAACAAAAGAAGCATCCCTCTCGGGAAACACGCAACTGTAAAATGAATATTCATTTATTCATACATTCAGGAAAACACATTTAATGTTATTGGTCACTTAATTGAAAATAACTACAAATCACAGGCAAGATGAATTTAATGTGATCTGAGTTGACATTTCAGAAGTTTATAAATAAAACTGCGTGCATGACAAGACATCACCTTAGTTCAAAATCCTGTCTCAAACTATGCACACTCTTTCAAAGTTATCCGTAATCGATCATCATGCCAGAAGCTTGTCATTCTTCATACAACTTGCCCTTCAAATTAAAAATTGTGGCTGAGGCAGAAGCTATGAGAACAACTCCAAGATTACCAGAGAATAGGGGATCAGTGAGTCCATGGTTTGTTGCTGGTGAAAAGATCAAGTGAACCTCTTCAATGGTGAGCTGAAAATGTTAGCAAAATGAAAGACAATGTATAAATTATACCGAAGTATAAATTTTTCTTGAGTACAAATTTTTTTCACTGCTTTTGTTTTTTGTAGTTTGAGATTATTCAAACTCAAAACAGAAGGTCAAACAATATACAAAAAACTCACCGCAAAGTTACAAAACTGAAATCCAAATTCTCGTTTATCCTGGGTTAGCTTTATCGCGCTCTTAACAACATGGCCCAGGAGCTCCGCTTCTAGACGTAGCTAAATCTATATGTTATACATCAAAAGATTTGCCAAAACTGGTGAGCAATATTATTGAGACTTTTTTATGGCATCTGATTTAAACATCGATATGTTTTGGGGACTGTTAGCAAATACACACCAATTCTTCACCCACCCAGGTACCTGTAATTAGTAAATGAATTCCTTACATTTTCCTGTACTTTTTTATAGACAATGGCAAAGAAGAAGAGAAAGAAAACAGAGACCAAATTCCTCTAGAAGATAAACGGCCGATAAAAACCAGTAGAAGCAAGGGAAAACGACACAAAGCAGAAAAATCTAGCATCCAGCATGATCCTAAAACTATCTCTTCCTCTGTTCAAAATGGAAGACAGGAGATCCAGGCAGCAGATCATGGAGCTAATGAGGACATGAACCTGATGCAAATGACGTCTGTGTTGAAAGATCTACAGTCACTATCAACTGCTCTACTAACTATGGACAAGGAGAGTGAGGAGTCTCAACATTCAATATAACGTAGAGTCACTGGTTATCTCTCTGTTTGTGGGTGTGTGACCACCCTTGGAACCAGAATGAGAGTGGCCTCTTAGGGGAGGTGTCCAGTTATGAGAATCAGACATTCAATATTGAAATATTTAACACACCAACTCTAAGTAAAACAAACAAGCACACTGTATAGTCATTAATCATTTATTAGCAGAACAATCTGTGACATCATGACAAAGCTAGAAATATCAAATGTATCTTTTCAAAACTGTTAACAGGACTACTTCAACAGTTCCACTATTTTTTCTGCCAAGGGTGTGGCCGAGGCTGGATTTTGTCCAGTCGCCACTCTTTTGTCAGCACAGACACATGGCTGCCACAGGTCTGCGTTTTCAAACACTGCTCCATGTTGCTTGAGCTTGGTCTCGAGGAGGAAGGGCATTGCCTCAACCAATCCCATCGCATCCTCTTCTTTGTCAGTAAAGCATGTCACTTTCTTGCCTTTCACTAGGTACTCACCATTTGATAACTTGGTGTTTACAATACCTGGAAAGAAATAGGAAGAATGTGAAAATTCCAATATTTTGGTTTAGTTATCAAAAACTGATCAAATACACTCACAAGCTCATGTGTTGTTGTGAGGTTTAAATTTAGGAAATTCAGCCTTTTTTCTTCCTGGTTAGGAAGCTTCCCCTGTTTTCCAAATCCGAGGTGGTGTTCATCCAATCAAAATTAGCTCACTCACTAAAGCTGGAGCACTCTAAAAGCTGGCCAAAGACACTGACAGCAGTGGAAGACCTTTGTTGCTGCCTTAATTTGCCAGTTGCCATGATGTTCAGTCAGTGCGATTTACTAAAGCATGGCTGCATTGAAGGCCACTTACCAGCTGGTCCATGGCAAACTGCTGAGGCAATCCCTCCCTTTTCATAAATCGTTCTCACTGCTTTTTCCAAGGTTTCATTTTGTGGTAGATCAAACATGGGCCCATGTCCTCCAACACAAAACACAACATCAAACTTGGCAGGATCAACGGTGTTGAGAGCAATGGTATTATCAACAGACTTCATTGCCTCATTGTCAGCAAGGAATTCTTTGCAGACTGGGTCCTCCTTAAATGCTTCGAGACTGGAAGGGTCCTAATTGAAAGGAAAAAGGCAGTTTTTTTTTGTACCTTAAGTTATATGGTCATCCATCTTTGCAAGGTTTTGCAGGTAAAATGTATGTAAGGCCCGGGTCAAACGCCGTACTTCACATGAGCTGAACCCAATTCAACCAATTAGGCTCGTGTTAAGTTTGGTGTTTGACCCAATCCTCCATAGGAAAAAGGAAAACATTATAAAATCTTCAAACTTAGGCTACTTAATGTCCTTAGTACAGAGACAAATATTGTAAAAATTTGGCTTTCTTTGTGCCTTTTAGGCTGTGTTAGGTTCACAAGGCATTATGGTAAAATGTACAGCCGCCATCTATTTTCCTACGGTGGATTAAGTTTGACAGATTTTATTTGGAGCGGCTGGCATTCTTCACATCTGGCCAGCTGTCTAATAATGCCTGAAGACCGACTTTGGGTCGAATGCCAATCTTCACACGAGTCAAACCAAACGCATAATCAAAGGCCTATAGGCACCATTTTGACTTTACCTTGAAAAACCACTGACCAACAAGACCGCTTTTGTTATTTGAGTTAACACCAAACTGTCATTAGGTTTGGCTCATGTGAAGTACAGCGTTTGACCCTGACCTAATACACTTTATTTAATGGTTTGGTAGATAATTCATCCAGCTATTTTATGGGTAGAGTCCAAAAAGATTATCTGAGTGAGTGGTAACATCCAAGACACTCCCACGATGCCAAGATTGAGATTTGAATCATTTTAGACTCTGAGACAGAACAACAAAACACAAAATCAGGACTTTGTGACTCATCACAAAGGATACTGAGATTCTGTGATAGAATCAAAAGTCTTTGAGACCTAAGATTTTTAGTTACTATTAATTACCAGCACTGTAGCCAGAAAAAAAAAGACTGAGGCAATGTTCATGATTAAATGCTCCTCATAGGTATTTAAGCTGTGTTTTACTTTCCCCTTTAAGAAAACCAACAAACCCCCCCCCCCCNAGAATTCCTGGAACTTTTTGATTGCTGTCTTTGTGTTATGATCACCGGATCGGGTTGTTGACATGTAATTACATTGTTGGAGGAATTTCCGCAAGAAAAAAACGAAAAAAAAAAAAAAAAATGACTGAGGCAACTGCCTTGGTTTGCCTTGTACTGGCTACAGCCCTGATTACCACTATATTTTAAAATGACAAATGTTTTACCAATGGAGCTTTTCCTCCCTTTGGACTGACAAGTGTCATACTGTAGCCTGCCTTCTTGAACACATGGTATGGATGAGCCATTTCTGGTAAATACCATCCAGTCTTTTTTCCAGTATTCCCCATGTCTCCATGGCTAGTGAGGACCATTAATATTGCAACCATTTTTATCTAGATATGTTGGAGTGAACTATAGCAACTGAAATTAAAATTATAATGATGCAGTAAAAGGAAATTAGTTTTGGGTTCAGTAAGAAACTGTTAAAGTATGAGGTTATAATTAAATGGTCTGCATTTTGGCACTCAACATTAAGATATTAATAGCTGGGGGGGTTCCAATATAAAAAAGTTGGGGATGCTTGTCAGAAAATTGAATTCAACCCCTAAAGAAGAGTGATCTGGGTGTGGCTTGAGCATTGTTTGAGCCCTAAACGATACCTAAAAAATAGCAGCATTTCATCCTAAACACCCTAAATGAGACTTCAGTTCTTGATTTATACCCCTAAGCAAAACGACAAGCATCCCCGACCTTCTCTTCTGGGAGTTCTCCCCCCTCCACCTTGGGATCATCAATAGACACAAGTCTAACCAGGGTCCTGGAAATCACCAATATTTGTTTCACTGTTATGCCATTTTACCATATTAGACCAAGAGAACGCACAAAATATGAGCCTGTATTGCACTTTTCGCCATTGCACATACGTGATCAGTACAATTTTCAGATGATGCAGAATGTTTTGCGAAAACTAAAAGCCAAAATACTAGAAAATGACATAATTGCAGAATAATTACTGGCTTATTGCATGGTTTAACATATTATACAAGCTGACATTCTGCATACATAATTTGAATACATATTACTTATATCTTTCCTCCCCAATTCTGGGCTCAGAAAAATACTACGCAACTTGCAAAATATCAGTGTGTATAAAATGCAGAAGCATATCACCTCGACAAGGTGAAGTGCTTCTGATAAATGTAAAAGCATTCAATAAGGTGTATTTATTACTAAGTGATACAAGCCAACTCTCCTGAGTCTCCCGGACAGGAGGTCCTTCCAAAGGGAGGGGAGAGGTGATACAAGTTCCCTCCCCTTCCTTTGGATATTTTCTGGAACTGAACAATATATACATAGGAGGCTATAATCTCCATGTACACAAGTCCTGAGTGATAGCAATAACCAAAAATTCCATATTTTTGCAGGAGAACTAACATTGTGTCACATCTACATTTAATTAAAACTTCAAAATAAATTTGGTCCATTTAGTTTGTGTCAAATTCTTTGTAGAATGAGACCCCAGGGTGTAATAGGAACCATTGTTATTCAAATAAGTAGCTATGTAATAAATCAATTTAATTTCAGGTAGTCTGCTTTGTTTGGTCAAGATGACTTAGCAAATTTTAGCGTCACGGCGATTACTATTCCAAATGGTTTTGTTCTCTCACATTAGTGTGGCATCATCTCCTAGCGAGTTGTAGCGTTGCACGAGCCAACCGCGTGCCCAAGTCAACCTCGAGTCACGAGTCAACCTCGAGTCAACCACGAGTTTTTTTGTCCCTAAAAAATTATAGATTGTAGGAAATAAAATATAGGAATACACCTTTTTGGTACTTAATTTCGTGGGTACTTAATTTCGCGAATTTGGCGAGACAGTCTTTCGGGGGGGGGGGGGGGGGGGGGG